TTAGGTCCATCACGGGCAGCTGCGACCTCAAACACCGTAGGGCCGACGGCGACTCCACGGTAAGACAGAAGCCACGCCCACTTCCTGCTTTTACCTGCTTTACCTGTCTGTCATTTGTCTTTGTCTGTCATATCTGTGTTTGTGTCAGTCCTGGATTTAAGTGTCTTTTCATGTGTCCGTGTTATTTGTGTCATTCACTGGTGCACTGTAAAACCCCAAGGCCACAGTCAGCCGAACGGAAGTAAAGTGACATTTCTAATCAGACCCTTAAAGGATGTTCGCAATAAATGTGTATTGTCCATGTAACAAATTCAGCAAAATAATTGAAAGACTACTTTCCTTTAAAAATAAATACATTTAAATTTAAGCTTGTAAATAGTTGAATAGTGTGAAGTTACTGTTTACACAGCAGCTGTCATTAGAAAGCAATGTGTATGCTCTAAATATGTGTCTTTTGTAAATATAAAAGTAAATGTCTATTCCTCTGTGACAGAAGTATTTATGAGCTTAAAAGGCAGCTCAGATGAGGCTCCTCCACTGTTCTCAGGAGAGCATGGATTCACTGGGCATTCATTATGGTGTATAAGACACTGCATAAACTCATAGCCGGGTAAACGTTGATATATGACATTATTTGCTTATTAAAGGCATGTCTTCATATATCATACATAGAGCATAAAAAAACTGTCTGATGGATGTCAAAAATCTTAACACCAAGGCCCACATTTTCCAAATCTGTTCAACATTTTAACTTAGTCATTGTGTGATATTCAATTTACATCAGTATCACGATGCAATTTGTGATACAATGTGTATACAAATATTTTAGGGGTTTAGAAACAGTTAATTTTAAGAAAAACCAACTACTTGTTATAATTTGGGCCAATTCAGCTAAAGGCCCAAGGGCTAACAAAGGTTTAGTTCATTTGTACCTGTTGATTTGTTTTACACATACATTCACTCAAATTCAAATGTAAACAACAATAAAAGTTCAGTGTGAAAGTGTGAATTATGTATAAAGAGTTTCCGCCCCCACTAGCATGACCGAATAGGAACAGTTGCATAATCCTAAGTATCACTTGTTCATCATGTTAATAAAAGTGGGGACGAAACTGTTCTTGTGGGATGCAAACACTCGTCCAGTCGGAGTCTGGTTTTACAGTGCGCTCAGCTGAAGCTACGGCCATCACTCTCACTCCTGTCCTCACCTGTCCCACATGTATAATGAATGTTTAGTCTTTTGACTGTCTGTTCAGATTTAAGTGTCCACTCCGCACACTTTAGGTCACATTAAATACATAAGCCCCACCCACCCCCTGTCACCTGTCTTTACCTATCCAACACACCTGTTTCTTTCCCAAAACCTGTCTGACACTTTTACCTGTTCATCTCCTACACTGTAAAACTCAGACTTTCTCAAAGGCTCTGTTGACTTTTGTAGAATTGAGTTCATAATTGAAGCTACAAGAAAGAGCATAGCATTTAAATACCGTTACAAACAGAACTAGTTAATCAAATTCAACCCATGTGCAGTGATGTATAGGTTCGGCCGCACTGATGGGGATCCATAATAAACAAACAGAAATGACCCTGCTGACGTGTACATTTAAAGCATGTTTTAGCACAATTATGATTAACTGTCATGTTATTGTTTGTGTACATAAGTATATAATACTTCAAAATACAAATAGTAATATATTAATGGTCATGAATATGCCATTTCAGAGCATTCTAATAATTCTCTGCTATATCAGTTTTAAAAGGGTCTTTCTGGAGCGATTTTGGCATCATGGTAAAGTTAACAATTGCAAGAACACGAAAATAAGTCTATCCTTCTTGGGTCATAGGGGAAAATATGCATTAAAAATAGATACATTACACACATTTTGCAGTGAATGGTCAATGACAGACAGTGCTGCAGTCAACAAACAAGCCATGAGAGTGAGCTTTTACAGTGTATCTTCATGTCCTTCCTTGTCTCCTTCATGTGTTCCTCAAAGCCATGTGTCTGCTGATCATCACAGCCAAAGACCCCTCCAATCCAAACACAAGCGGCTGATGTGGTGCGAGTCCGGCTCTGGTGCGAGTCCAGCTCTGGTACTGGATCCAAGATGAGTCCAGGTTGGGCTTGTGGAGCTGCTTTAAGTCCTATAGTCCTACTGAGTCTAGGTGTAGGGCTGTGTGAGTCGTCCACTTGCAACGGGACGAGGTCCAGCCTGTGTGTCTATCTCTGTGTCTCTGCCTTCAAATGGAAAAACTAAAGTCATTCTACAAGATGTACTTATTTTGACTACATTTATCTAGGTATTTGTACAAAATTACTAAATAACAGCTTCCTATTCAAATTATAACCTGCTGCTGACCTGCAACAAGTGCAAATTCAGGAAAAATGAGTTTTAGGTAGTTTTAGCTGTTTTTCCCAAGTTTTTTATTTTGTTGTTTGTTTGTTGTCTTCATTAGGTGATGTGTTTTAGCACACGTTTTATTCACCATCTTTTTTTCTCGTACTGAGTGACCTGCTTTGATCAATGTCCACAAAAAGCATTACATACCATAATGGAATGACTTAACCCTTAACTTAATTTGCCTGTGTAATAAAATAGTTTCTCCATTTGAAGGCAGTGTGTCTCTTCCTGTCACTTCACAACCATTTTCCTGCCGCTGCCACATCATCCTTTGCAGCATTCAAGTCCCATGATCCTTTGCAGGAGTCCAACAATGGTGCAACCTGTTTCTATTTCAGGCTTAAGGACATGGAGTCAGTGTCTCTAACCTTTCAGCGATCACTGGATCTCAGTATTTGTCATGTTTTGGGGTATTTATTATGATCATAAAGGCAAAATATCAGCAATACATTTTATATTTTTCACACTTGCCACTTTCCCAAGTACACAATACATTTCATGTTGCACACATTATTATGAGTAGTTCCAGTCTGATATAATGCTTTTATGATTCCTCACTCACTTTTTGGGATACATTTACTTTTCATTTTGGTGAATTGTTGTGACAGTTCAGTGATTTTTCTTGTAATATTCCTGTATTTTTACTTTTGCTGATGTGGGTCTTTCTGTCAGACCCACTGATTCTCGGGGAAGATTCAATTCCATCCATTTTAATGAGGATCCCACCTCCTCATTAAAGAGCCGTTCGATTGGTCCAAATAAGTTTGTCTGCAGTGAGCCCTGTGATGATTGTTCGGTTCTTCAGTAGGAGGGGCCAAACCATATTTCTTTGTGACCATTTCTCTCTATACTTTCACTATCAGTGTTTCAGTGGATTTGAATGGTGTCCCATACACACACTGCCTCTGTCCTTCTGCAAGAAGGGCCTGTTTCGTCAGAGTACACACTTTCACAACACACAACCAATGAGTTAGTGACACACTGTCAAGACCTTCCACCCTGCCAGGACCATCAGTACTGATGAAACTCTAGTTTAGCTTTAGATTATGCTCTGATCGTTTTGATATGACCTTCCATGAAGGATGTCAATGCTGCAATTACAACATCCTTGAAAAATCTGGTTTCGAAATAAGAATGAGATTGTTCTGTCACCAATTACACAACTCTTTTACAACAATTACAATCAGTAATATTTGTGGTTATTTCTCTTTTCTCGTAAGCCATCAACATTTGCCTTACTTTAAAGGTATTTAGGGAGATTTGGTCGCAAGTCCCACCTCCCGGTTTCCACGGGGCCATTCTTTGTTTATCTTGTCTTTTGCCTTGTGTTATACTGGTCCTCTACTGTCTTTCACTTCCTCTCAGCAACTTCCACCGCCAATGTTCACATTTTCTCCATTGCCCTTAATCACCAAGAACCATGGATGTATTATATTATCTGGATAGAGTATTACCAAAAGACTAATGTCCAGCGTCCAGCACACGCCTGGACGTGGGAAAGGGGACATGTGATTGGTGCTGAGCACAATGATTGACAGTGAGGTAGAGATGTACACCAATTATCTCCCTAAATAACTTTTAAAGTCACATTTGTACATGTTGATTGAATTATCTAGCTAAAATTTTTGGCTTTATATAAAAGAACGAACCAGCGAATTATCCATGATCATACACATTTAGGATGACCAACATTGTTTAATAATGATTAATATGGATCAAAACAGAAAGGAGAATGTATGACATGAGGTTAATCATTAAGCCCTGCTATAGGGTGTGAAAGAACTCTTCATTTTATTTTTGGTGATCGTAAACGCCCAATAAAATATTCAAGATTCAAGAGTGTATTTGCCATTAGCAGTAAAACCACATTTGAAAAACTGTGCCAGTGATTACCCCAGTGTGCACCAGGATAGCACACACCAGAGCTCTTGTCACAGCGCCCTATTTCTGGAATCCAGTTAACTTGGGGTACTTGACGTTTCATCTCTAAAGCCAGATTTTGCTTGGATGTGAACACAGCATAAGATTCCATCAACCATTAGTCAAATACAAGTTTACTCCGTTAATTAAAAAACTCCTGGTACACACCTCACAGTGAACCCCATTCACAAAAACACCAAACCCCGAAACTCTACTGTACTTTGTATCTCTGCATCAATAATTTACATTGAATGACATGAAATACGCTGTGAGTTGTCCTCGGAGATCAGTTTGAGATAAAGAGTTTTATTTTATTGTTTTAAGATGCAAAATTAAGTGAGGCTGTTCAAGCTTTATTTACATAAGATTCAAGAAGAATTTATTTGCCATTTGCAGTAAAACTACATTGGAAAAACTGCGCAAGACTACCCCAGTGTCTTGCAAAAATGTCTCAGCGCCATTTTCCGGTGCCACATAAACTCTATTCTGGTATAATTTCATGAAAATCCCCTGGACAGGATGATTTTGTGAATGGGGTTAAATCCACAAGAGTTGATATTGTTAGTTGAGGCATGTTTTCAGGGTGTTTAAAATCACATGGTCTGCCGATGAGTTTCTGAAGGAGATGGGTGTTCTATGTGTTCTAATGTCTTGTGCTCATGTTTGTCCTTACAGCCGTACCCCACCGACATCACCGGTCAGCTGAACCTATCCGATCCCTCCGTCAGCACCGTGGTCTGAAAACTGCCAATCACAATTCTTCGTCTGCAAAAGAAATGTCCAATCGCAGCCCTTCAAGACCACGAGTCGAACTTGCGAGTTTGACGGATACATCCCTATGCCTGAATATGAAGCGGCCATTGAAAGCCCTCCCTTGTCAGATCAATCGAAGTCCTTCGTTAGACCACTTAAAGAATGAACTACACCGATCAATCATAACCGTTTACGTCTACGGTTGTATGAACTGGCCAATGGTTTCCATGTTACACAACTTGCTAACAATACATCCCATTTGATGTTGAATTTCAACTATCACAACCCTCCGTCTATATTGCTTTCCAAAGGTAACCAAGTACAGTTAAGGGTGTATAGGAGGATTTTCTACTTCCGGGTGGATCATCAAGACTTTTGGTCCTCCCAATTGTCAATCATTCTGGTGATATGTGCTCGTCAAATATGACCAGAGAGTTTTGTTTATATAGTGGAGAGGGAAGTTCTTTGGGAAAATCCTCTTATATGCCTTTAAGTTAGATTGGGACACTTTCGCAGCCACTACTTTACTACATTTTTTACATCTTTTCATATCAGTGGCATTCATTGATTAAGGTAAACCTGGAAAGAAGCTATCAAATTGCTGTGATCTAATTTGTGCCAAACTACCTGTAATGTTGTACTTTATTTGTTAGAACAGCTATTGGGAGAATTAGTCTGTTCAAGTTAAAGAAGGCGCAATGATGTGATGGTTACATGACGGAGGGCTGGATGATAATAAGGGCAAAAATGGGAGGAGCTTCTTTGAACACCAACAAATGATTGACGACCCTCTGAATCAATACAAATGCAAAACTTAAGCACAGAGCAACACTGAGCGTACGGTCTGCAAATTCCACGCCCAATTTAAAATATTGTGTTCATTTTTTTTAAAGGACCCAATTGTTTTTCAAAAGTCATATAATCTCGCTACAAACGAATTTGGCCAATCCTCTTTCACAGACCAGATTATCTTCTCAATGTAAGCACTGAAATGCATATACATGAGCATAACTTGCTGTAAAAAAAAAAAAGTGTTTTTTTTTTAAATACAGCTGCACATGCTGCCATTTCTGACAGATTGGATTTTTTTAATAGTTGAGAAGTATTTAATTTCACCGCCATTTAACTGCAAAAGATAATCATTGCTACTAATACAATACAATTACTACTGTCTCTATAGGAAATACTGCGACTACTAGTTCTATTACTACAAATATTTACCCTTGATGACACGTTGGCGTAATTTGTGATTCTAAAGCGATCTTCTTGATTTTAACATGTCCAAGAAGATGGATTTAGACTAGATTTTCCTCATGTTTGAACAGAACTATCCAACTATTTGGCGACTAAATACTACTGCTACATTCATGAATAATGTATGAAGACTATCGGTGTTATGAACAACAGTTGCTTTGATAAAGAGACTTCTGAAAGGGCTGCATAGGCGGCTGATTGCTCATAGCACTCTGATCCACAGAGAACATAAGGATCACAGTCAGAATCGGCACCATCTGCTGTTTTTTTACACTAAAATATCACATTCACATGAGCTCCCGCCCACAAAGTATTAGTCTGATCATTTCTATTTTGAGTTATTATTCACATCTTGATCATAGCTGTAAGTAGCAATAGTTGTGTTGGTCTAATAGTCACATTTTTATGGTTGATATTCCTGGACACACCCAAGCCATACACATATCATTATCTATAGTAAAGCATTTATTTTCAAAAATCGTTTCCACATTAGCAGAAGGATTGATTTTGATTAATAAAAAAATCTTTTTCTTTGCAAATCAGTCAGCTCCATTGCATGTCTTCAAACCAATAGTCTCATTTGTTTCTTAAAGGGTACATAATGTGCATTGTCAATTTTAAGTTTTAATTTTAGCTTTTTAATAATTGAGTGATTCAGACACTTATATTTTTTTATTCTTCCATTATTCCTACTTTTTGTTTATTTTTCACACACATAATGAAAGAGAGGTCTTATTGTTGCTGTGATTGGCTCTATGATGAAGTCTTTTTTGATCAATATTGGAGAAGAGTCTGTCTTCGGTCCCAGATTCTTCAAAAGTCTTAAAAACTTTAAATAGACACATTAGTAGTGGTCTAAATTGTTCACTGTTTGACAACACGTAGAATACTTGCGCACTTGTGATATATATTTAATACAAAGATGAGAATTATTTTTTTTTTTGCATATTTCATGAATGTAACAGATCTCATAAATACATTTATTTTCTCCTGTGAAACTTGCATTCATATTGTGGAAAGGGGGTCGTCGTCGAAGACTGTCACACTCCATAATTGGAAAGATGCCTCAAAACTGAAAACTTGGCAAACACTGAGCCTGCTGCCGATTATCGACTGATTTTTTTATCAGCGTATTAATCTCGGTGCTGATTGGCTGATAGAGGAAAAGGGGGAGGAGCCTCTGGGACTAAACGCAGAAGCAAAAGACGTCTCTCATCGCTGAACTTTTAGATCTTAAATCAACATGATTTCGGATCCGTTTCAATGACTGGAAACAAATTTGGTTCTGTTTTTAGTCATTTTTATCAACATAAGAATTTGAACAGGTTTAAAATGTTTTTACATTTTTCATTCCCTTTTTTTTGAGCACACATTAATTTTTTATCTTATTTCCACATATTTTGGTCAACATGATTTCTTTGCACAACATTCTAACCCTATACAAATCACTTATGTTGTGCCCAGAGACTCCGTCCCTTTTCTGTTTTTGGCCCAAGAGTAGATTAAACCAAGAAAAACACTATTGTTACATTGTTACTGGTTCACGTTCAATGTGTCCCCTGCTGATGATGTCATATGACCTGTGTTATGATGTCATTCTCTGTCTACCTCCGCAAGCGAATAATGCGCCGATGTTCAGCCTCGTAGCGCCGCCCTCCTCTTTGAGCGAAGTTTGGCTGAACGGACGCAGAATAGTAGCGTATGCAAGCCTCACTGAGAACAAGACGTCTGTTTATTTAAACTGTGAATTTTCAAGTGTTTTATGTTGCTTCAGCATTTTAATACATTAGCTTTTGTGAAGTGCTACGTTTTTGACCTAAACGCACCTATACTCACTGGTGAAGTGATTTTAATGTAGCTACATATTTATTTATGGTGAAGTCAACACACCAGAAAATGTATTATCAACAATAGTAGCCGCCGTTTAAGGACAACCAGGCCTTCAAGAGACATTGTAGAACTGTAATAATTTAACTACAATGCCGCCTAGACATTGTTATTACTTGGACTTATTCAGAGCTGTTGACAGAATGGATGGGAAACTTCATAAAAGTGACGCATATGATGGGCAATTTCTTCACTGTCATCCTTTTTTATTTATTTTTATTATTACAAAGTGTTGCATCTGATGGTTCTCAACTCTGCTATTTGTCCCCCTTTTGTGTTGGGCAAAGCAGTTTGTGAATCAAAAACAACCTGATTTACATTTGTAATGAGGTCAAATGCCCAAATTTGGCGAGCTGATGATAGGAGATAGGGTTGTGGAGGTAAATATGTAAGGTTTGTGTTGGGATTCGATTTTGGTTAAGGTCAGGAAATTATTTAGAATTAGCATGGTTTCACATTTCTCTAGAAAAACGTAAAGAAAAACTGGAGTGACATATTTTAGCGGAATGTCAAAAGTTAGAAAACTGGGTGAGGTAAAGGGATATTGTCAATGATAGAATGAATAAATCATGTTTAATAACTCGGTAGTGTTAGAGAGTTCTTAGCAACTGGGAAGAGTGATTCCAAGGAGAAATCACCTGGGAATGGTATTGATTCATGAAAAAAAAAATATATATACCAATCAATAGGGTTTAGAGTAAGCTTAAATTAGCATAAGTTGACGTCTTGGCTGTGAAAAACTGGTAGAGTTTGTCGCCATTGGATGTTGCATTTGGTATTTTTATTATTGATTTTTTTTTTATTACTTTATTATGTTTTCTATTTTATTTCAAAGTGCGGATACTTCCAAAGTCTCATCCTAGTAAGCATTGCACCTTGGAATCCATTATTGCACATCAGTATTGCACATCAGTCTTGCCCAACTTGCCCGTTCTCTCAGCAACTCTGCGTACGTTCAGGTAGTCTTTTCATAAGTATTTAAAACTGCCAGTCTGTGACGTATCTCATAGCAATAGTGAGCCTTTACCATTGTGTCTTTTAAGCTTATTTTACAACCTTGTATTGTAATTGACTTATTTTGAGCGATGTCACTGTGTGGAGCTTTAAACTGCCATGGTTAGCTTAGATGCTACATTAGCGACAATAAGTAAAAAATAAAAAAAAGGTTGCAGATAAGTGTCTCCTATTAGGGTGTTTGTAGCCATAAAAGTGAACAATATATATTTTAAATGTATATGTATAGCCATAAAACAACAATTTCTCACAAGGTCACGCTGCATCACTGATATAGGCTATTGACAAATCGTGTACAGGTATTTACAAAGCTTAAAACGTACTCAATATTTGCTAACCCCATACCCCAGACACAAATGTAAATACATTATAAAAAGCCACATTTTCAGCAGAATACAAGTTACAAGTTGGGTATGCCGCTGTTTCACTCGTAGCACCTTTAGCCACGCAGCCTTTTCTTGAACCGCGTTTGACAAAGACACAGTTGTTCTCAGTGACGCTGGCCTTTATATTGTTTCACTTCACAAACATGTCTAGAGGGAGCTGCATCTGCGAGAAACAACGATAATGTACAAATCAAAACGGCTAAATGTCTTTGGATCTTTATCTGTCACTTAGTTGAACACATCCTAATGCTAACTATTTCAAGTGAAAATGTGAAAAGCTGCAGTATTCTTTGTTTGACTTGCTGCTAAAATCTTTGTAGATAATGAGATCCTATCATTTTGTTGTTATAAGGTATGATTTTATTCATTAGAACATTCGGCGAACAACTGGATGTTATAAACGTTCTTTTTAACTGTGCTTTGATGAAATGTTCGACTAATTTTGAG